TTTCCTTTAAAAGATGGAGCTATTATGCTATGTTAAGCACTTGTTTGGAAACTAATTCATTCTACCAAGATAGAACTGGTAACCCTAACACTCGTAAATGAGTTACTGGAGTTTTGAACATAACGATAGCCTAAGATGTGGTGAACTGTATCATTTGTTTATAAGTGCTAATAGCTTTTGTTTGCATTTTTTAGGTGTATAAATAAAATTCCAGAAGAAATGTGTAGATGTTGTGTATGTATGCATAAGGAAATACATACACATATGGGAAACAGAGTTGTAGATAAACATTAGGCATAATTAAACAACTGCTGATTTAAAAATCACAGGTAGTAAATATTGGATAACCCCAGAAGATAATGGACTATGCATAATTGAATTTTCTGTGTAGGAATTAAGCAGAATCTCTTTCCTATCCTAACTATTCTAAACAGGGCTGTTTCCTCATTTTAATTAGTCACATAAGGAGCATAATTAATTAAACATAGCACATGTTATTTTCCCATTGGTCAAATTACTGTTGAGCCTTGAGTCACATTCTGACAGCAAAATTCAGTGACATATACAACTTGATATGCAAGGTAAAGGAACTGAGATTTTCTTGAATCTTGATATTTATTGATGAAGTGTTTCTAGAGGCATGGCAGAAGGCAATGCAGACTTCAACTTCCTAATGCCACCAAGCTTTATTATGGCCCTCATTACCAAGAAAGATAGGAACGATGATATTAAATAATCTATATTTTGATCTAGCACAAAACTTGTTTTGCTTTTAATGTGCTGCTGCTACAGAACTACCACTGCAGGTGGACCTCAGGTGGTGTGACTGTCAGGGTGTAGTGACAAGCTCTGAACAGAGTGACCTCAGCAGGCAGCAAGTCAGAAGTAGTCATGAATATTAAGGAGTTTTAGAGGTTATTTATTCATGAATAATATTATTAGCCTTTGCATTGTACAGAAAAGCTGTAGTATTACAGAGAGAAGGATGGAAGGGCTGAGAATGTTAAAATTTGCAAAGTGATCAACCAGATATGTTAACAGAATCGGTGTTGAGATCAAGCACCTCTTTTGGAATGCTCTGTAACAATATAACACCGAATAAAAGTATAATGCCTTTTAATAATTTGTTTGCTCAATAGTCTTGATATCCACTAATCCACTTAGTGTCTATTTTATAAAAGCTCATCATAATTGTAGCCGTGGCTTTAATGATTGTCACACAGTCTTTTTGTGACATACATTTTTAACTTCCGAAAAGTCCAGAATTATAAAGAACCCTTTTTAAGATTATTATAATTCCTGTCAATCCACAGAATGTTTCCTTATTCTTTTTTACATTTATGTAGAGAAACAATACAGAGACAAATTTCTGTGCTCCAGGGAGGAGCTGCTGAATCAGGTCCAGCCTGAGAATTACATTATTTACCAAGACATTTATAGTAAGGATTTTTGTCTAGTCCTAAATTTTGTTAGTCTGTCTTATTTTATACACTTAAAATATTCGAAATGATGGTATTAAAATATGCAAGTAGTACAATCATTACTGCTTTACTTGCTTGCCAACACAGACCACAGACACAATGAATCACACACATGAGCCTATCCAGCTCTGACCCAATGCAGTTGGCTGTTGGCAGTTAGGACCAAGCCACCAGGCGCTGCTTGGCTTTTCCTTAAGTGTTTGTGCTGTTTTGCCACTCAAGCAGAGGTTAACATGTGGATTCATATTTTAGTTTTGATAAGTATTTATTAAAGCACAGTCGAGACTATCTAAGCAGAAAAGCCAAGGGCTGGGGACTAGATTTAGTTCTGTAAGAAAACAACTATCTAGGAAGAAAGATGCATGTAGGTAATACCCAGTCACACACATACATGCACGCCTGTACACACACACACACACACACATACATAACACATACACAGCACACACATAAACAACATGCACACGCAATACACATACACAAATGCACACACACACCACAGATATATACAACCACCACACACAACATACACATACAACATGTACACATAGCAAACACAACATACATATAGCTACTACACACAGACACATAAACCATATACAGGCACTTGCCCTCACAGTGCACAAACCCCAAACACACACAAACACACATAGAGAGAGGTCACACAATCACACATATATAGGCACCATACACACAGAGAATAGATAAGATACATACAAAGATACTCATAACACACACATACATACATAGTCCACCTATAACATACACGTAAAATAAATGTAGACACACATACCATAATATACACATGCATACACACCACACCCAAATATACACCACACATTCACAGGTACATACATATGCACATGTACACTCACAAATGAAGAAAAGGAATAAAGGAAAGGAGGGAGGGAAGGAAGGAGGGAAGAGGGGAGGAAAGGAGAGAAGGAACAAAAGAGGGAAAACCCTCAGAAAAGTCCTTGATTCAAGAAAGGAACATGAGAGTATCTTTTATAGATACTGACTAATACAGGGCAGAGCTGGGCATAGGGTGTATGTAACTCAGTAGTAAGTGAGGTACTGGGATCAATCACCTACACCACAAAAACTAAAACCTAATTTTAAAAAAAGGCTTCAAAAAACAAAGTGCAGAGAAAAATAATTCTCAAATCAGGGTTCCTTTTAAGATATTGTAATTAATTTCCTCTGTATTAGGGGTGAAAAAAAAAACACATCACCACCCTTATTTAAAGTAATTTTTACTCATAATTTTAGTATTCTGAAGTTTTCCTATCTGAATTCTGTGAAAGAAATACTCACAGGGTGGCTAAATGGCTAAGTGCATAGAGGATCACTTTCAAGTGCAAACTGACTCTAGTATTTCCTCTTAAAAGGAACCACACAGAACTACAAATTACACTGCTAACTTCTTTTCTGTAACTGCTTCCTGTTACCAAAGGAAATCAATTTTGATTAGGTCCCTTTGTAGTAACTAATACACACTACATTCTTCACAAAGGATGAATATATATATAACCTCCAAATCTCAGGTTTCCTTTGAATTCTTAGCTCTCTCTCTTTGAATCAGAGTGTGGCTTTTCTTCAGTACTCTGTGTATTGTTCTAATATGTTAAGGTGACTTCAACAGGGATGCTAATGTCCACATTTACTACAGAGTGAAGTAATACAGTCTGTGTTACCCATAGATCCCCTACAACTTCATAGAAAACCAAACACATTTGAAATGAGAATGTCTGAATTCAGCAAGCTGATCTGGATCCAATCAGATCATTTGTAACCAATTTCCACGAAAACCAATTCAAGCTCAGGAGCAACAATTCTGTATGGAAAACTCAAGGCTGGCTTAGCTGTGGAACTGAGTTTAAAATTGCAGGAAGAGACCATATTTTGGTTTCAGGGCCCACTATACACGAATCAGGACGACTTGTTTATATTAGCATCAGTCTACCCAGGGAAGAAGCCTCTGGATCAGGGCTTTAAGTGAGACTTATTTAACTGACTGTGATAGACAGCCAGTTTTCCTGTCACAGTAGCCTGGAGACAGACACACCTTTCCTTGCTTTGTATTCGTCATGGCCACCAAGACTGCCTCTGGTGGGCTTTTGAACTTGGATTTAACATCTCTTGAATTTACACTTGCTCTAAATGTAAGTGGTGTTCTTTTCACACAGCATTAGCCCAAGTAAGAATTTCAAGCCTAACTTAGTTTAACAAGTATTGGAAGCCTTAGAAATTCAGGGGTTGTTCTTGACTTTTCTTTTTATTTCTTCTTTGTTTGTTTTCATGAGGTTGAGCTAAAATCACCAAAATGGAACATAATAACTTTCCAGACAGAAAGGGAATATTTTCCTCCTCCTCCTCCTCCTCCTCCTCCTCCTCCTCCTCCTCCTCCTC